ACACACACACACACACACTTGCAATTGCTGTTTGCAACTATCCATGTGCAGTTCTCTTAGAAGTTCTTGGTGAATGCTATGACTTCCCTGCTTTAGAAAATACTATGATCTATAATAAGGAGAGAGGGAGGGGAAGATGGATGGCACACAATAGTGGCATAACTGCTGCATTCTCTACATTACAAAGAGTTTTCTCTCCCTCTTTTGGGCACTAAATGGGTTCCAGGGTGGAAGAACACATATCTAAATGCCAATGAATATTTCTCTGGATGTAACCTGTTTCCCATGTAATGGTTTAGGCCACTGGGATCTTGTTAATTCTGATACATTGCCTCTCTTAGGATTCATCCACTTATTCAAGTCAAGAGTGTGCTATGAGGATATTTTCATCTGATACAAAGCAAAACTTGTAGTAGGTCTAACTCTGAGTAGACCTTGATTGGTGTTAGGACTTCAGACTGATGAGGGGACTCCACATTAGAAAATAAACTAGCATCCTACATCTTAATAGATATTCCACCATATAAACTTCCATTACAGTCTGAAGCAATAAAGGACATATATGGGTTTATGATCTCACTGAAAATTTGGTCCACAAGAGTTCTCTTTCTTCTCTCCCACCCTTGCCATACTTGGGCTGACTTTGGGGGGGGGGGGAACCCTTTGGAAGCAGTTCTAAATTAGGTAGATTACAATGAGACACACATAATTGGTTGAGTAGATTGGGCAACTCATTTTAGCATCACCAAAATAAATGTTCTAGCTTTGACTAATATATGCCTTAATTCTCATGGAGGTGGGATACTTACTGAAAATAGCAATTTTGTTTTCCTCCTCAGAACTTCCAGAATAGTGGCATTCATACTTACCTTCTCAAACCTCTAAATCTACTGAACTACACCTTCTATCGTTCCTAGGCATCATAACTTGAATAGAGGTTGTCATTCAAATGTCTTGCAGGGCACCCAGTTGAGGAAGATATACTGACATGCTCGTATCTAAGCAACTTACAGGATGTAACACCATCCTTTTGCCTCTGTGTGTCTGTGTCTCTGTCTGTGTCTGTGTCGATTGGGGGGGGGGGATGATTTGCAATAAAACCAGACAAAATACAGTAGCATGAGCTGGTACTACAGGTACTGTACAGTTGCTTGTGGCTACATTCGCTGGAACCTGCTGGAGAATGAGCAAGTATTAAATGAATGTGTGATTATTGTAGTGATGAGAACGTCTCCCCTAATAAGCTATATCTGAAAGGTATATACAGTCCACCTTTCATTAAGTTCTTAGAGAGAGAAAGACATTCACATTTACATTATGTTATGGCCCCATGTATAAGATTTTACATGACTTCTACTAGCCCTCTGGGAGTGGGCAGGGATTTCTCTCAGAAGGCAATATGTGACCGGTTTCATTCTATATTGGGACTGTTCAGACATACAAGTGAGACATACGTCTGACGAGTCCCAATATAGGATGAAAGCAGTCACATACTGTCCCCTAATAAGGGAATTCCTATCTCCTCCATAGGAATAGAATGCCATTGGTAAAGTCTGCTAGGGAAATAGTTGGGAACTGCTACGCCACTCCAAAACTGCACGCAGAGGCATGGCGAATGGAATGAAAGGGGATGAATGGAATGAAAGACAAACAGCCCAGGATCCTGAAGCAACTATTCTTGCTGCTACTTTCATATCCTTTTTAACTTTTGCTGATGAGTTTGAGGGTTTTTTTGTTGTGGTTGTCTGTGTATAATTTATGGTTCTGCTGCTTTTATAGATTAGTTTAAATATATTTTACTTTCTAGTTTTCTGTATATTTTATTACAAGTCAGCCTATTAACTTGATGGAAGGGCAGGGCAATAAAAGTATCATTAGATACTTATACTAGATTTAGTATAATTCAAAAGAATTATAATAAAGTATAATATAATAATGATATTAATATCATTAGTAGTAAGAATAAATTGAAATAAAATTATATGATTTATTATTATATAAAATCTAATCATTTTATTTATTATACCCGCCACAGAGGAATGGTTGGTGAAGATGACAGAATTTGCAGAGATGGCAAAATTGACTTGTCTGGTTAGGGAGGAGACTATAAGTACACTTATTAGTTACTGGAAACTATGTACTTTTTGCTGAAAACAGAAAAAAATGAACTGGTGATTTATGAATTTGATGGGGTAAAATATGGGAAGAAGGGAATTATGATGTAGTCTTAAAGAGGGAGGATAGATGATAAATTTATTTGGAACTGCTGTAAAGAAGATCGGAAGCTGCTTCTTTGTACTTCTTTCTTTTTTTTCTTTTCTTCCTTTTTCCTTTCTTTATTCATTATTTCTATTTACTCTTTTTCTTTTTCTTAAATTTGTACTGCTTTGATTATTGGGTAAAATTCTTCAGTAAAAATAATTTAAAAAATAAAATACAATAATTTAATTTATTGTAATAAATGTAATATTGTTATTGTTATTATTTCTTAAGGATATTTAAGAGCAACCTTTCCAGTAACTATTTGTAGAAATGCAAAGGCAAATTGCTTTTTCAGGAAGGTTTTATAATGGAGACTTCCTCTTTAAAAAAAAAGGGGGGGGGGATAAAAGTTCTGGGAAACTTTTGAACAGGAACAGTTGGAGATCATATGGATAGTAAAACTGGCTACAGTATATTGATCTGTACATTCCTTAGGTTACCAGCATCAAACCTTTGGCTTTAATAAGCCAATAACCTTATGATGGAACATAGCTGTTCATTGGTATGTATTTTGCTATGTTGTGCTGCATTTTGTAGAACCAATTGTGTGGTATTACTCCAATACTGTGGAGCTGAAGTACTTACTGCCATTTGATAGCACTATCATTTAGTAAAGTTAGTTCTACTTATAAGCAGATTCCAGTTGCTGCTTTAATTTCAAGGGCACATAGCCTAAATGTGTTCGCATCAGTGTGCCTGTCTGTGACTGTCTCTTGCATCCACAAGTCCACCACTTCGGTGTTTCTCAAAGGGTGGTCCGAGGGCCCCTGGGGATCCCCCAAGGCCCTCTCAAGGGTTCTCAACATCAAAATTATTTGCCAGCCTATGTTGAAAAATAATATAATATTAAAATCTCATCAAATCATGAGAAGCGGCAGTGGCAGCAAATGCATCAATTTTAATTTTTAATGTGGTAAATATCAATAAATATAACCCATATAAACGAAAGCTTTTTTGGAGTCCTCCATAATTTTTAAAAGCGGGAAGGGGTCCTGAGAGGAAAAAAAGTTTAAGAAACACTGTACTCCTTCTTTACTTTTCCTAACTCATCCAAACTTTGTTTTCCCCTTCTCAGTTTTATAGAGCAACTCCTCCCTTGTGGGGGCCCTCAATTTGGATTTTCTTGTGGGGTCATATGGTCTGCCCTGTGTTTGATCTCTACCACTATTTACCTGAGCACATCCAACGATCCAATTTCCTCTGCTTCTAACATCTTCCAGGTACAAATCCTGTATAAACAGTTTGCACCCACTTACTGTATTTATTTCCCAAACCTAACTTTCTGGATTGCACAGGAATTTCTTAAAGCTGGTCATCAGCCATCTCCATGGCACCATGTATTTCCTTCTAGGCTGGCACTTGTTCCATCTAAGAGCAACCGTCAATAGTCCTGTGTCTACCAACCCAGAACCAGAATAGGATGATCAAAATTAAAGTAGCAATTTCTACATATTTGAGAGATTCCCCAGCTCTGAAAAATTATTACCATCTTGGAAAAGAAAGCCTACCATCCACTACCTCCCCCATGGCACACCCTTTGGGTCAGAGAGTGAATCATTTCAGCTAAGGATGGCGAGAGTTGAAGTCCAGTTCATCTTGAGTAAGCAGCAACTTGAGTAAATGTGCACCAGCAAAGTGTATACTGTTTAGGTGGGCAATGCTGACAAAGGAATAGAAATATACACAGAGTTATAAGGGCAGGCAGAAAAGAAGGTAATCTCTTTTAATAAATGTTTTCAAACTGTATTAAGTATGAAAGAAAGAGGCATCCAGTATTTTTAAATTTATTTTGACTGATTTGAGAAATGGATTTGAATTACCATTGGTACCTTTTCTATGCCCTGCTTTTTAGACAGCACTTTGAAAAAAATGAAAATATTAATTATTGAGAAAGCAGTAATGTTTAGATCCAGGTTTTATTTCACAACAGAAGATGCAACAGCTTTTAACTCTTTTTAAATTGCTCGGCTCTTAGCTGTGGGAAGAAAACTGACAATAAGAGCTGTTGCAGACAAAGCTGGACATACAGATAAGCTTTGATGGGGATTTGGCACAGGCAGACAGATGTGAAAGACTGCAAAGTTTGATTCAGAAAGGTATGATTCAGGAAGAGGAGACCCTGACAATTTCTCATGGGGGAAGGTGTTTAGGACTACCTTAGCTGAAATATACAGGCTCAGTTTAACTCTATCTTCCCTGTAGAAATAAGCTGGAAATGTGTTCAAGAGCAGGGAAAAAACAAATTAATCAAAAAGGGTCATACTAGAAAACATATAGAGATATCAAATCCCAGGATATTTAGTGATTCACCCATCCTTCTTCCCTGAGTAATATGACATTTCCTGTCCCATTTTTGTAAAAGAGAATTACAGAGATATGGGGACATTAAAAGTGTGGCAAGAACAAATTGAAATTGCTACCTCTGTCCTTTTAAAAGCATGAGTCCCCAAAAGCACTCATGTAATTCTTTACACTAAAATTTTAGTGTATTTCAGTAAATTTAGTAATTTTCAACACTATTTTTATACTGGCAAATAGTCTTACATTATTTTAAACAATTTTAAACAACAGATGGAACACATTACCACATTCTGTAATTATGTGCACATGAAATAATGAAAGTATGAGAAAGATGAAAGGTTAGAGAACATCAGACATCTTTCTACTGATTGCTGCCTTTACCATTTTTTCAGATTGATTCAGAGCTTCTTCTGTGGCAACCCTAGTTTTTCTTTGACTCAGTTCTTCTGAAACCAGCTCCTGAATAATATCTTTATGGCTGCATGTATCTCACTGTTCCTCAGGCTGTATATGAAAGGATTGAGTAATGGGGTGACCACCGTGTATGCTATTGATGCCACTCTCAACTTTGTCCCAGAATAGGTGGAGGACGGACGAAGGTAGGTGCCCATCAGAGATCCATAGAACAAGGTCACAGTAGTAAGATGGGCACTACAAGTGGAGAAGGCCTTGTACTTCCCAGAACTAGATGGAATCTTCACCACCTTGAATATGATGAAGATATAGGAGAAGAGAATGAGTAAGAGGGGTCCAAGAAGAGCGGTTGAACCTTCACTGACAAGGAGCATTTCAACTAATGAGGTATCAGAGCAGGAGAGCTTCAATAATGGATGGAGGTCACAGAAAAAATGGGGAATTTCCTGGGAATTACAAAATGTAAAATCAGACACCAACAGAACATACAATAAAGAGTGGGCATGAGCCAGGAGCCAAGATGCAGCAGCTAATTCTAGGCAGCATTTATAGCTCATGGTTCTAGTGTAATACAAGGGGCGGCAGATGGCTACATAGCGATCAAATGCCATGGAGGCCAGGAGAAAGTTCTCTGCTGTACCGAAGCTCACAAAGAAATACATCTGTGTCAAACAACCACTGAAGGATATGGTATTTGACTGAGACACCACGTTCTGCAGCATTTTAGGCACAATTGAAGAACTAAATCCAACGTCAGCCAATGACAAGTGACAGAGGAAGAAATACATAGGAGCATGGAGGAGGCTGGCATTGGAGAAGATCAGCAAGATTATCAAGAGGTTTCCTAGCAGACAAAGCAGGTACATACAAAGGAAAACAGGAAAAAGAAGTTCTTGAAACTCTGGAGAGGAAGAAAAACCCAGGAGGATGAATCCTGCAAAGTTGGTTTGGTTCTCCTGTTCTTTTTCCATGAGTCATCTGAAAATTGTGAATCAGATGGATAAAAATGCATTTCTGTTTATATCTCTGGCCTGTATTTCATCTAGACCGAAAGAAGGAGAAAAAATACTTTAGGATGTAACAGAAATTGCTACAGTAATTTCTCTTCTTTAAGACAATATTTGACTCATCAAAAAGGGGGGGGGTGCATTTGTCTCATTATATGTCTGAGAATGATGAAGGCCTCCATAAAGCTTTGCATAAAATTCACTTCATAAGGAAGAGGAACTTGTAATGCTGAAGATTTATGTTGGGCATTTAGTATTCTGTTCTACATACTGTAAGTCATTAAATCCTAAAATAAGGTACCTTGGGTCCAAACAAACCTAATTTCTTTTATTCACAGTTGAGGATTGTTCTACTGATAGCTGGCCAGAAAAGAAAAAAAAAATATTGGGTGGTGATGGAAAGCTGCTGTGAAAAACAGCAAATTCCAGGTTGGGATTTATTAGGAAAAGAATAGAAAATATAGTGGTCAATATCATAATGCCTTTACACTGCAGCTGTATTTACAGTACTGTGTATAGTTCGGAACAGCACATGTGAGAAAGATATTGTAGAACTGGAAAGAAAGCTGAAGCAAATTCCTCTTGAGAAAGGTTACAGCTTTGGATCTTAGAAAAACGGGGATGTGAGTGGGGACAAGATATTGGATACAAAGCTATGCAGTGTAAGGAAAAATGGGTTGAAAACCTTTTTCTTTTTAAATTAGACAACCCAGGGTCATCTAGTAAAGTTGAATGAAGTGTGTTGTCACATAGTGCAAAATAATTTGATTGCAACTGTATGGAAGAGAAGGCTATGAATAGCTACTCTCATGATGACAGTACTTAACTCTCCTATTCATGGCAGTATATTCTCAGTTCTCCTTATTGGGGAATATGACTGTAAGATTGCCATGCTATTCATTTCTTGCCTGTAGACTTCCCATAAGCATGTGGTTGACTCTGTTGACCTACAATGCTGGCTTCAATAGTTAAATAACCACACACAACTCTTCCTAAATTCTTAATTCATGCTGAAGGCTATGCTGAAGGCTATTCTGCAAATCTCCCAAATCTGGGCATCAAGAAAGTTCAGAAGACCAAGGTGAAAAAAAAAAAATTACCTCTGTGCCAACTGACAGCTTCTGCCTCTGCCACCAGCCATTCTGAACACACACTGATGCTCACCATTTCAACTTCAGATATATTTCAGCGGCATGAGAATGTGAAACAAGAATCCAGGGAATCTGAGAAATTCTGAGAAACAATGTCCAAAATGATAACTAGAAAGAGATGCAGTTGTTAATGATTGCCAAAAGTCTACTGAAGTAGAACTTAAAGAGGCCTAGACCTACCTGGCTGAAGGGGTCTCACTAGTTTCATACTATCACTCCACATGCATACACATTCATATGTAAAAAAAGAGAAAAAAGCCTCTACTAATTGTGATGTCACAGGATACTACAGAGTTAACTTCAGAATTCCTTTGCCAATAACACATTACCCGCTTCCTGTGAAGTGGCCTATTCTTTTTCTGCAGCACTGGAAAAAGCAAGCCGCCTTTTACTAACAAAAACCATTCATCCATCTTCGTATACACTGGGTGGCTGCAATACTAGGGTTTCTGACATAGGTATTTCCAAGGCTCTTTGTTGATGGCCAAGGATTATGCCTGAAGCATTCTGTATGCAAAGCGATTCTTTGCCACTAAGCAACAGCCCTTCTCCTGACTGTCACAGAATGTGAATCTCTGAATCTCTCCCATGCTATTTAGCCACTGAGTCTACACCACAAACAGAACTCATTTCCTTAATGATTCCCAGCTCAAAGTCTCCTTCTTCAGGCTGCATTCTCACCAACCTCTGCATATACACCCCTGTATAAAAAAGAAGAAAAGAAAAACCTTCTTTGCAAAAAGAAGGTTTGTATGGGGATAACTGAAAAATAATAACTGCAGGAAGAGGAACCGTGCAACATCATTCTCCTAAGTTCCATTCAGATACAACACGCTGAGGGCTCATTGTGTAGAAAGTAGTCTGTAAGAGTTTAATTTTGTGTAAAAGATCATACCGAGTGCCTTCTACTAAGGCAGAGCATTCATTCATCTCATCCAGTCTTCAATACCCTGACTGGACATGGAGGGGCTGTCTATGTTCTGACAAGCATTTTTCCCAGCACTGTCTGAAGATGGCCAAGGAGTTCCATTGTGACATTCAGCATCTACAGCCTCTTCTCCCTGGCTGAGGATCAGCCCTTCCCTCCTGTGCTATTTAGCCAAGGAGTCCAAAAGGAAGAACTCAACCTCTTCCATAACAATATGTTTTCATTGCTAAATCACCTTCTCCCACAACACCTATACATATATCACCCCCATGGATGGAGATAATTGCGGGGGGGAGGGGGGAGTGCAGAGTTCCATACAATTGTAGGTATAGATAGATAAGAAAAGTATCTTGGATAAAATGCTCGGTGAGATACTGCCTTTTATCCATAAAACATCATAGAAGGTTATACTGCACCTCTGATGGATCTCCACTGGAACTGATTCTATTTTAGTTGAGAGATTCTTTATCTACCAGCCCAACTCAGAACAAGGTCCCAGGCTTTTTAGTGGAATATTTTCTTTCCCAAAGCAAATATATGTATGGAGTGGAAAAAACCAGAATGCATGCAGTAAGGAGGTAGAGCTGGCTCCCAAAGGAAGAGTAATTGCTTTAAAAAAGACTCATTGGGGAACTTGGTAGTATATTCAACAAAAACAAGTGACATAAGATTGGAAAATGAATGCAAAGCATAGATCTTGGAATAAATAGTATTTAATTTCACCCAAAAAATAACACAAACAATATCTCTGGCAACTGGGGTGACCTCCAAAAATCTACTTCGTAGTGGCACATGACACTAGTTTATGGGTATTATATTAACAACTCTATATCACTCATGTGTTAGTGACATTGACAGGAGTGGGACCCATTTTTTCCACATTTGATGGACCTTATGGACGTCTTCTCATGTGCAGGCTCTTTAGAACTCAGTTTTCCATGTAATATTTATAACCGTAAATCAGTAAGAGCAATGCGATCAAATCCTAGAACTTCAATTCAGTTTTCGTGGTCACTGCTACATACGTTCCTTGTTTTCTTGCTAATAAAGTGAGCATGGCTGAAAATTGCTAAATGCTATGTAAATACCATAAGTCAATAATATCAATAATGGCTTTCTAGAGTATGGCAGAACATTTAGTTAGGTGAAGACCAGATTTATCTTCTGGTCAAGATAGTGCCTTGATCAGATGGGCATGGGTATAGTCAGGTACTGCCTGAAGTTTTCTGTGTAATTGTTTAATTACTACTGCTGGAACTAGAAAGAGGTGACTATCTTTTGTTATTGGAAAGTGTCTGTTGGTTGATTGCTTGGGTGGCACCCAAGAACGTTCTACCACCATCTTTCTGAGACTGACATGATGTCTATTCTATACAAATGAGAATGAATATGAAATATAGTAAAATAATGTTAACTCTATAAGAACCAGCTTACATGTGGGTGAGAACAGAATGATTCAAAAGAAAGATTGTGGAAAGTCTGTGGACACATGTGTAATTGAATTAATAAAGTCTCATAAGAGTCTTCAGGATTAAGTCAGAATCTGTTTCCTCAGTCCAATCTATGTGTTATCAGAATTCCAGAACAAGAGGAAGAATGTTAGTCTCTTCTTTATGGAAAAGCAAATACATGAAGTATTAGTCATGCCAGATGTTTATCAGCTAGATGTTGAAGAGCCCATCAGTTTCAGTTTTTTATTTTCATTCAGCAGATAAACCTTGGCTATCTGTGCGTGTTTGTGTGTGTGTTTGTGAAATGTCTTTGCCATAACTCAGAAGAAATCTGGTAGCATCTTTTCAGACTAACAGTTAATTAAAAGGGATAAGCTTTCATGAGCTACAGCTCACTTCATCAGATACACAGAGTGGCTAAACTGATGTAAGATTTAAATTGGGATGATGTGAGGAGAAGAGGGGAGAAGAGAAGCAGTTTATATGGATACAGGTTACATGTGAAACAAATTACAAGTATATTATCAATTAACAGTCGTAATGTGCTAAAAATCCATTGTGTTTCTTGAGTCCTTCTGAGATTGCCTGAACTTTTTGATATATGTGAGTTGAGCAATTTCTCACTGAACTATGCTGTTAAGGTTTATTTTTTCCAAAATGGTTACTTCGAGATCTGCAATACAGTGTTCTGGGAGGTTGAAATGCTCTGACATTACTTTGTCCTTGTTTTGAATCCTAATGTCAAATTTGTGTCCATTAATTCTTTTGCACAAAGTTTAGTCTGTTTATCCTACGTAGAATCTGGAGAGGCATTGCTGGTAGGTAATGGCGTATGTCATATTAGAGGAAGACCATGTGTGAAGGCACCTCCAATCTTGTGCGTGTAGTTATCTGGTCTGTGATGATGCTGTTGGTGTAAGTGTGGGGGCAAAGTAGACATCAGGGATTGTTGCAGGGTCTGGTTTCCATGTTTGTCCTGTTGTTTCCTGTTGCTTGTGAAAATCTGCTTCAGGTTGGTAGTTGTCTGCATGCCTAGTGGTTTGAACCATGAGCTATAGATGACAACCAATGGTGTCCTGTCGTTGGGGGGGTGGGATTTGCCTGTCTCTTGCCTACCAGTGGGTCCTCCCTGCAAACTGATGTGATGGAAAAATAATAAAATAAAGCTGGACACTCTTCCCCCCACCCCCGCCTCTCCAGCAAACTCTTTACTCCCCCTTCTCCCTTGTCTCTCTTTCTGCCCCCTACCCTTGCCTCTCCTGCAATCTCTCTTCTCCACTTCCTCCTGCCATTCTTTGCTCATGCAAAGTTGGATTAGCTCCAAGCTATTGCATGACCCACGAGTGACCATGTTCATACTGAAACAATGGGAGGGCCATTGCCTGTCTGCTTAAGGGTTATTGGTTCTTATTACAGTACACAAAAGAAAAACCATTTATCCCTCATTTAACACCTATCCAAACCTATCCTCGAATCGGCTCCCTCAGGTTTAACGCTTCTCAACCTCAAAAGTGTATAAATTCTATGCTCTTCTATTGTTCAGGGTCCCTCTTTCTTGGAGAGCAGGCACCCAATGATCATTACAATAAACATGGTTCTTCTCAGCACACTCTGGGAAATATACAGGAGAGTGAGGTCTTGTCCCAGCTGTGGTGCATGCGTGACAGGGTGAGTCCTACAGGAGACAAATGCAGTCAGTTGGAGAATTGCTTCCAGTGGATGCCAGTCTGTTGCAGCTGTTCTTCAATCGGCCAGCTTCAGGCACAGCCCACTTAAAGAGATTGGCATCTTTGCTTCTCAAGCCTAGCTTTTCCCTTATCACTGAAGATACTGACCTGTCTAGGGAGTGACCACCCCATCAGGAACTGGGCCCTGGTTGCCCGACTGGGCCTTCACCTGCTCCTGCTGACCAGTTGCTGTTGCAGAGCCCAAGGAACAGCACCCTTCATCATGGATTCTGCTGGGCCTGTTTCCTGTGACTATCCCTTTCTCCAGTGTGATGAGCGGGGACCGCAAAACCCGGGGCTCTAAGCACCTGCTTCCCTGCGAGTACAGTAATGGGAACTGACCATTGCAACACTCC